AGGAAAAAAATTTATTTTCGTGCTATCTATTATTTGGATCTTTTCTTCAAACTATTAATTGTATTAACTATTATTTAACTTTGGATACCACAATAAATACTTCAAGATTTTAGCTTAGTAAAGTTATTAAATTTAAGAGTACAAACAAATCAAATAGTATCCAACTCCAGATAATTGTAACAACGCAGACTAATTTTTTATTTAAATTGTTACTTCGATTTAACGAAATTGATATTGAAAGTAATTTTTTTCAACAATCCGTGTGATCTATTTAAATCCAAAAATATAAATTATTTAGTTATCTTACATCATAAAATTTCAATGATTCTAAATATTAGCTTTTAAAAATTATATTTTTCAAAACTCATTTTCAAATTCACCCGCTCTTTGTCTAAAGGTAGGATTATTCAAGAGACACGGATTCTAGAAAGCGTTACGTATCAGTTAGTAAAAAAAAAAATCATAAAAATTTATGCACGAAGGCAGAATTGGGATAATTGTTTTCCAAGTTTCTAACCAGTGTAAGAGAGTGCGCAGAAACGAAATATATATAGCAAAGTGGACGTACCTGCCAATCCGTGACTGATGGCCATGACCGTACCCGCGTAATTTGGACTGAGATCGAGCACGTTGGCCTTGATGCCGGGAAGTCCAGCGGCCGACGTGAACATGAAAAGACTCGAAATCACGATGAATTTGAGCCTGTCGCAGCCGACGTACGACATGAGCAGGGCCATTGTCACACTGACCCCAAGGCCCATGCTCGCCATCACCTTCCGCACGCCCGTCAAAGACAGGTAGTTCCGCTCGATCAGCCAATCCGAGAGCCACGAAAAGAGCAGACAGGCCACGAGTATCGCCACGTGGTTGACCAGATAGAGCAGCCCGTTCTCATCGGCGCTGTACTTGAGGACGCTCATGGTGTACTTTGGCAGATCGGTGAGCAGTATCAAGCCGTACCAGTCACGGCCGACGGTTACGGCGACGAGGGCCCAGAACGGGGCCGAGCCCAAAAGGTGCCGCCAAGGGACCGGTGGCGGATCCACGTGCGTGTGCTCTTGAAGTCGGGCGGTGAGCTTCCTGGCCTCGCGCTCGGATATGAACGGGTGCTCCCTGGGACTGTTGTAGCACAGGACCAGCCAGAGCAGGTACCAGACGAGGCTCATGCCTCCAAAGAGGTAGTACACGCCCTGCCAGTCCATCAGTTGAATCGTGGATCCGAGGCCTGTGGAGATGAGGAGGATGCCGCAGACGGCGCCCATGTAGACGAAGGTGGATATCTTGGAGCGCTCGTTAACGGGTACCCATTGGGACAGCATGACCGACAGGGCTGGTTGTGTTATGCCCTCGCACAGGCCCATGAGGATTCGAAGCAGGGTCAGGCCGATGGCTCCGCCCCAGGCGACCGACAGGGGTGTCAGAATCGTGCAGATGGCGGTACTGGCGAGGCCGAGGCCGAGGGTGTGCTTACCGCCGTAGCGCTCGGCCGCTATGCCGCCCGGCACGTGGCTCACCACGAAACCCCAGTAGAAGGAGCCGAGTATTACGCCCTGGAATGTGGAGTTGGAATCACAAGTGTGTGGTGGGAATTGCCATTGTATACGAAACCACTGTTTCAAAGTTATGCGTATGCGATTGCGAAAGGAAATTTTGCTCTTATCAAATTGCTCAAAAAATAACAATTTTTACCACTTATGTAGACCTAAAAAAAGGTATTTTCATGTCTTCATAGTTTAATAGTTATTTACGTAACAAGTGCGGGAAATCGTCCCGCACGAGTTGCGTACAAGTTTTTTCGCAATAAGTGCGCGGAAAATAGGTGTTTTCCGCACTGATTAGTGTGTAAAATCGATTTTCCACACGAAAAATAGTGCGGAAAACACCTATTTTCCCCATACTATTGCGAAATAGTAGTTTTCCTACGAGTTTGAAAAGTCTTTGTTTGCGAACCGAGAGGTTTGCGGCCTGAGCCGAAGACGAAGGACGTAACGAGGTTCGTAAAGGAGACTTTTCGAACGAGTTTCGGAAAACTGCTTTTTCGCCCGAGGAAGTACCAGCCTCTCAAAACCACCCGAGGGCGGAAAAAGATATTTTGTAGGTTTGCAAAATGAGTTTTTCTCATGAAGTTCGCACCTGGTGAAACGCATCCAACCAGGCCAAGGACAAGGAGTCCCTCGGGCCTGGTGCTTGTCCTGGAGAAATGTGCCACCAGGTACGAAAACTACTTTGTTCGACATGAGATTTATTTATTTTTTAGGACTCCTTTCTATGAGGTCCTCGCGGTCCGCAAACTCAGCAAAGATGGCGTACTGTAGCGAAGAGAAAAATAGCGTCTCATTGAAAGAAATGGACTATCCATGATCTCCTGACGTCAGCGTGACAGAGATGTTGTCACATAAGTAAATCCACATTACCGTATGTTGTCGTCACTTATAGTAATAGTGTTTCAGTGACGCTATTTTTCTCTGTAGGGTTTTAGTCCCTGTATATATTATATGTCGTCGTGGGAGAAGGTGCTGGAATGAGCAGAGAGACTTTGTATATGAGTGTGTGCTTTATTTACTATTATTACATGTGCGGCTCGGACTCGAGCTCGGCAAGGACTGAAGTCGTCAGTAAGCGGTTACACCGCACGACTAGTATAGAGTGGGGGTAAGCCCCTACATCTCTAAGCTACAGTACGCCATCTATGCTGAATTTGATCGTAAGGATCTCATACCTAAAAAATTGAAGAAAATATTAGAAAACATGAAAATAATCAGTTATTTTACTATGTCTCTTATAGTTTTTGTTTAAGGTATTCATGTGGTCAAAAAAATTGTAGATCTCATTAAAAGACAATTAATTTATTTGTATTGTACATTTTCTTCCAAATTGTAATTCTGATAGTCTAGAAGGCAATAAACATTTGGAAAAGATAAAAAAAAAGAATTTCTTCTCATTACAGTTCAAAATGGACCTTATACGTAACACAAAATTGCACACACAAAAGTTATAGGTTATTAGTGTAAATATTATAGTGTCCCCTTATGTTAATTAGGTGAAAAAAAAGTTATCAGAAATCACTGAAAACTTTGTTTTCATTTGAAAGTTATGATTCTATATAAAAAACACAAACTTTCCGTATTGTTTTGTATTTTTTTAATACTTGTTTCACGCTGTCATAAATAAAGAAAATATTTTGACATATGAAAAAGTCACATTTATATCTGATACTTATGTGATAATTTTGTTCTAAATAACAATCATTTACAAAAGTATGTGAAAAACTGTTTTACTAGGGTTAATATTGATGAATTAAAATTATTTTAAATATTCGTTCAGATACATACATATATATACATCACTTTTTGCTCTAGTAAAAAATTAATATTTTTCGTAAAAAAGCGTAAAGGACCAAATTTGCCTTGAAACCATGAAATGCACAATTGGCATATGTACGGTAGTTTTTTAAATATAATTTAGTTACTACTTTGTAGGCACGATTGCATCACACGAGTGTCTAATATTACTTTCAAAATAAATATTGCCACCAACCACAATACCAATGACTATTTCGTCAAATAAATCATTGTTGTAGCATTTACCTAAACATTGATTAGACATCTGTCATATATTATGTAATCACAATATAGTGGTTAAATTACATTCCAAACTTCATAATAGTATATTACGTACCAAGGGACTAAAGCAAGCCAGTTCGTGGCTGTTGTAGTGTGCGCCCGAGCGTAGCGAGGGCGCTACAAGCAATAGCCACTCGCTGGCTTGCTTTAGTCTCGCGGTGCGTATACACTTTTATATCACACTCAGCGGAAAGTTCGTTGCATTGAGAGGGAGAGAGATAGAAGGAAAACAAGCCATTCATTGTGTGGTTATAGGTTATATTACAAGAGTTTTTATAATTGTTTCCGATTGTGATACTTAGGATATTCCTGTATTTTTGTATAAAATATGGCAACAGTTTCGACAGTCATGTTTGAAGAGGATTCTTCTGACGAAGAAAACTTTAACGAGGATAAAGTAGGGGAAGGAAGAGACTTTGACTGTGAACAAAATGCCATTGTTCAAAATTTACTTCCCATAAAATCGAGAGCATTATATGAATATGCATACGCTCGATTCTTACAATGGAAGCATAAGAACAAGGACCTAATTATTTAACTCTTTTAATGAATGTGTTTCGAAATGTAATAATTTCAAAAGTTTTTTATACAAGATTGATAAAAATGAAGAACTGTAAAAATGCAGTTATTATTTAAAAATGTGTGAACAAAGAATATTGTATAACAATTTTAATTATTTCCATTTGTTCAGAATCTCATGTTTTTTTTTTGTATAAAATACACCAGCAAACAGTACATTGGCTTCTTTTATCTTGTTGATATTTCCCAAATTTGTTTGTTTACTGCAGTATGGCGCCCTCGCTATGTTCGAGCACCGAACTACTCCAGGCACTTATTGGTTTGTGTATATAGTAATATACAGTAAGATATAGATACGCATGCGTACACGCACTTATTACACACTTAGAAATTGTTTGAAAACATCTCTTAATTTTCTTAGAACTGCGTAGAAAGCTCGTAAAACAGCTGTTACAACAATCATATGAAGCTGACGAGGAAAACCTGTGTGAAATGTTGCATGTACCCAAGCCAGGAACGGTTCTTGCAGACACTGATGCCATAATAATTTTTATATCACACTACAGCCTCTCAAAACCACCCGAGGGCGGAAAAAGATATTTT